CCCCAACCATGCCAAGTAAGTGTGTGAATTTCAGGAGAGAACTGTATTTGACCATTGTGTTCTGCCATGTTGTGGGCTCTGGGAATTGAACTCAGGCCATTGGATCTGCCAGTGGGTGCCCTCACCTGATGAACCACCCTGTGGTTTCTACATCTCAGCTTTTGAGACAGATTCTCTCACCCAAATCCCCACTGTGTTTGACTGATTGTCTTGGAGTATACTGACTCACCTAGACTTGCAGGCAAGCAAGCTTTGGGGATCCTCCTGGATCCACATCTCCAGCACCAGATTCTCAAGGTGCTTGGGGTTCTGAAGTCGGTGTCTCAGGCTTGCAGGGTGAGTGCTTAGCAACTGAGTTTAAACAATCACTGCAGCCCTCTTTCCTAGTCCTTGTTTCTTATTTCTCACTAGATCATAGGCAGGAAATAATGGCCCTCAACAGTAGATTCTCCAGAGCTCACATGCTTCTTGATCATGTCTGGAGTTGTGAGGTTATTTAGTCTATAGTTATTCAGTCTTCCAAATTAGAGTGTCATACAAATAATAGTAAGTCATTGTTTCAAAGTATTCTTTTGCTTAATAAATGTATCCATTCAAAACACTGAATTTTCCAGCTATATTTATCCATTCTGCCAATCCATTTATTCCCCACGTGTAACTTAGATATCTACTGTACAGCATACACATCTACTAGCTCTCAAGATCCTCTCATTCTGAAAATATTCATGTTTATCTGCCCAGTCAGCTTTACTTACATTCTATAAATTTAAATATTGAATAAAATGAAAGATGCCCAATTGCATCCCTAGTATTTTTTGGCTAAAAGCTTTTTGGAAATCAAAGCAAGAGAGCTATGAAGCCATGGATTATCTCCTTCTAGAGAGATTTGCTCAATTATGGTGCTAGATCATGGACACATTGAGAGGTTTAAGACAAAGGTATTTGCTACCTTCTGGTGTCTGTATTAACATGGATAGTCTGTCTATTGTCTGAGGACTATGCTGTGTTTCTGTTGGTAGCAAACATAGAAACATTACATCTGGGCACTGAGAAATGAAAACGTCAAAGTATTGATGACTGAGGATTTAGATTTTTGCTTGTTGTTATTTCTGTTCTAAATCTGTTTACATTTCATAGTCTTAAGAGCTGAAATTTACATAGATACATGTGACCTTTAGAATTATCATGGGCCTGTGGATTGTGTCGTTTCATTTGATGTAAGGCACAATGGATTACATGATGACCTTTTATTTTGTATGGCAGCAAAGTAGAAAGCATTGCTGATTATAGTCATAAAATATCATGAATTATAAGTGGCAGATGTCAGTGATGCTAAAGTGTGAAATAAAGAGTAAGGTAGGTGCAGTGGAACTGCCTGCATTCCTACCTACTGGGAGGATTACCAAGTTCAAGGCCAGCTTAGGTAATAGAGTTTTAAAATATTGTAAAGGTATTTGAATAAAAAATTTTGCATCTGCTGTAGTATAACATGAGTTCTGCGCTCATTGGGGTTTCTGTCCCGCCCAGTCCCCCAACCATTTAGTCCCAGAGAAAATAACACAGAGATCACCATAAGTTATAAAACCGATAGGCCCATTGGCTCAGTCTTTTTATTAGCTCTTGTAGCTTATATTAACCCATTATTCCTATCTGTGCTAGCCACATGGCTTGGTACCTTTTACAACGGGGCAGGTCACATGTTACTTTTTCGGTGGTCTGGGCTGGACTGGGGAAGAATAGGCTTCCTTCTTCCCAGAATACTCCTGTTCTCATCTCCTCACCTCTGCTTCCTGTCTGGTTGACCGGCCTATACTTCCTGCCTGGCCAATCAGCATTTATTTAAAACATGATTGACAGGGGCTGGAGAGATGGCTCAGAGGTTAAGAGCATTGCCTGCTCTTCCAAAGGTCCTGAGTTCAATTCCCATCTGTGATGCGGTCTGGTGCACTCTTCTGGCCTTCAAGCATACACACAGACAGAATATTGTATACATAATAAATCAATAAATATTTTTAAAAAATTTAAAACATGATTGACAGAATACAGACAATTCTCCCGCACCACTATCGGTATAATTCTGTTATTTCTCTTCATTGAAATACTGTGTTTGTTACCATTAGGAAGACCAATCATAATTATATCCAGCAAACACTGAGGTGTCAGGTGCTGGAAGCATTTGTATGTGCTCTTGAAGATGTGAGTTTTAAAATCACAGCAGCACTGTGTAAGACAGCTACAGTGTTGAATCCCCATTCTACAGATGGAGAGATTGAGTCATGGAGCTCATAGGAAGTCTAAGTGGTAACTAACAACCAACAGTGATTAGGGTAGGATTCAAATCCAAGCTGAGTTCATTCTAAGAGGTGTTCTCCTGTAATCCAGAGAGGCTGCTCTGAGGAAGGATGAAGCTTGTGATAGAGCACTTTCCTTGACTGGGACTATATGTCTAGCACAGCAAATGAACACCTAAGTAGAGAAATAAGTAAATAAGAAAATTTTAGTTTCTTCTTTTACATCAGAAGGAACTGCACTTTGCCATATAGTATTTACACTTGAATGTACCTTTACATAGTAATCTTTAATTTCCTAAAATGTCCTCTCAATTTGTAGGACATCACTACACTACGCATGTGCCCATATCCATCCCAACGTGATAGCATGGATAGTATCCAACGACTGTACGGACATCAATATTCAGGACGACGAAGGCTGCACGCCCTTAATTAAGGTAGCTATCGGGCAAGAGTTTTGGTATAAAATTGATTAGATATTATCCTTGTTTGGTTTTTGTTACTGTGATGAAACACTGGCCAAAACCAGCTTGAGAAAAGAAATATTTGTTCGGCCTACAATTCCACATCACAGTCAGTCATGAAGGGAAACCAGGGCAGAAGCTCAATCAGGACTAGAGGCAGGAAATGAAGCAGAGGTCATGGGGGGATGCTGCGCCCCCATGGCTTTTTCCAAGGCTTGCTTAGATTTCTTATACTACCCAGGACCACCTCCCTATTCATGCCACCTCCCCTAGGAAGCTGTGCCCTCCCATATCAACCTCAATCAAGAAAATGCTCTACAGACTTCCCCGAGTCCAGGCTGGTAGAGGCGATCCTTCAAATGGGGTTCCTTCTTTCCCAGTGTCTTCAGCCTGTGTCAAATTATCAAAACAAGCAAATGAACAAGCAACCTCCCCCACTGCAACAATGGCCAAACAGTGCTGGTGAAATGCTTTAATATCTAGGTGTAGTGGAAAACTTTGGTGGGGAGGTCATAAATTTAGGCAAGCCTGGGGTACTTGAGAGGCCCCAGTCTCAAAAAAGAGATAATATGCATAACCTAAACAATTGGTCTGATCCAAGAGTAACTATTCAATGCAATTGTTGGAATGCTTATCCTGACTTTCTTGAATTCAGTATCTCTTTCTTTCTACAATACCCACAGGCGACCCAGAGGGACAACGTGGAGTGTGTCTCCATACTACTCAAGCAGGGTGCTGATCCCCACATCGTAGATTTCGGTGGGGATGCAGCTCTACACCATGCAGTTGTCCGAGGAAATATAACAATTGCTTGAAAACTGCTTAAATATAAGGCAAATATTGACTCCAAAACAGAGGTAAAAATCATTCAACTTCATTTGCAATGTACTTCCAGCAATGACACTCAGATCACTTTCCATATTCTGAAGCTCAAGCAGACTCACTGAATCTGTTCAGAGTCAAACATTTTTCCCAATCTGTTTTTTTTACAGTTTTGCAGGTAACTTAAAGGAACTCAGCATAGCACATTTTGTTTCAGACTTGGGCTTTACTTTAAAATTGAACAAGTAAAGTACTCGAGCCCACATGTACTTCACATACACACAAACAATAAAAAATAATGTTAAGGTAAATGTCTGTAGAAAACACCAGAAATCTGTTAAAGTTAAGAAGCTACTGATGTGGTTTGTCTCCCAGAGATGAGGATAGAGTGAAAAGGTCACATGCACACAGACAAATGTGGAAATTGGATCATTGAAGAAAACATACTGAGTAGACATCTTTATTTAACTTTTTCAAATTTTCTATGTTCATAATGAAGGGGCCAAAATGTGACTCCATCTTAGACAAGTAGTGACTCCATTTTGATTAATGACCTAAGCCTGAATCCAGGAAGTTCCCCAGTCAAGTTTAGCCAATCAGCTAAACAGTTTCAAACCTGGCCTTATAAGGCTGGGAGACCCAGAGTTGCAGGATCTGGTTGCTACTGACCATATGTGACAGAAAAATCCAACAACGGATGAAACTGTTACTAGTCCTGTAAAATCAACGTGCACCTCATGTAACTACTCCCTGACTGCCCAATTATAAAAAAGATACTTAGAATTCCCCATATCCCTTTTAAAAGGGCATGCATGTCTTTGTCCTTGGTCCTCATTAACATTTTATATGGGTGATAGACTGCATGCTGGCAATTTCTGAAGAATAAGCACTCTTTGGGTTTGCATACCATTTGAGTCTGGGGTCTTCCTCCAGCATTTTTTTGGACCACTACAATAGGGAATGATGTTTGGTTTGTGAGATAATTTTTAGTTTAGGGAAAATATAGTTTTGAAAAACAGATTGAGAAACTGCTCCAGAGATGCCACTTGAGTCCACTCATTCAACAGAGGCACACCAAATCTAACTCAATGTTTTAGGGTTGGGAAATGGAGGCACATCTCCATGGAGCTAAGAAGCTTGGAACCAGCGAGCATTTGTGGGAAGTTCTGGAGTTGAGTGGTGTTCACGGGCAGTGTTGGACAGGGGAAGGTGTGTCAAAGGGAAAGGAGCCCCTGTGTGTATGAATCTGCAGAAAGGGCTGAAGGAAAATCTATCCTTTTGTGACTTTTTGTTTACAAAATCTGTGATACTTTTTCAGTTGAGAAGCATGTAATTTCTAAAATGAATTTTTTCTTTACAGTATGGGATGACCCCATATAAACTCACGCTATATGGAAGGCAACACCAAATGGCCGAGTTTTTAATAAAGAACGGGGCGGAAGCACATTCGGGGATGAAGCCAAATAGGTACAGTTTCTTCTTTTTACAATCTTAGTGCTGTTCTTGAGGGTGATATTGCTTAAGTAATGAACACTAAAGTAGTAGAGGGAATATGGCTTCAACTCAGAAGCACATATTGAGAAAGCCTAGCTCATAGAGAATGTGAACTGGAAAGAGACTCTTCCAACATAAACAAAGAAACAGTGTGTATGAGGGCGCAACTTCCCAGTTAGAAACAAGTTTGTCATTTCTAATCTGATTTGATTGGCAATTTTCTACTAGTTAAGGAAACTTCACATTAATGTTGTTTACATTGAAAAGTGTCAACTTTATTTTCAACACTGAAATTTTTAGTGTTTTTCATTTTGTGTGTGTTTGTACTTTACATATTTTTCTGTGCTTTGCATATTTCTCTGTGCAGACATGAAGGAAAGAGGAGGATATTGGTGTCTTGTATCATTCTCTAACTTATCCACTTGACATAAGATCTCTGATTGACCCTAAAGCTGGTCTGGCAGCCAATAAGCCCAAATGCTAGCCTGTCTCTTCCACCCACAGGACTGGGGTGACATGTGCATTCTTTGTGTCTGTGCCCAGTTTTTATGTGGATGCTGAGGATTTAAACTCAGGTTGTTGTGTATGGGCAGCAAACATCTTATTGACTGAGCCATCTCCAAAACCACTGGCTTTTTAAATTTTTATTTTTAAATAGAACTACGACTGAGTCTTCACTGAATGTTGCATAGATTGCAATAAGTTGAAACTACAAAAGCAACAAAAAACTTTAAGACAGGGATCAATGTTGAATTACATAAATGCAAAAATGTTACTTAGTATGCAGGTAAGAAATCTTTCAACAGAGTTTCTCTAAGGACCAAACCCACCCAACACTACATGTTTGTATTCTAAAGGACCTCTGAAAATCCTGATGTGCCTGAATCTAGAACAGAGGACAAGGGCAGTACCTCTGCTATTAAGGTAAAATTCTCCTTTGTGAAATTTGTTGTCTTATGAATTTTGTTAAAATGCTGCAGCAGTCCACCTATCACAGTTTTATATATATGGAGATTTGGTCAGAGAAAAGCGTTTGGTATTTGTGAACCATCCTGTCTATAAATTCCAGTGAGCAGTAAGTCCTTGCAGGTAGCAGTGGCCCAATAGGAGAATGAGCTGGAAACACAGGAAGGTGCCTGATGTTTGACCAAGGATGGTTTGCAGAAATAAATACACATTAGACTGATTTTAAAAACGACCGAGGTAATGCACCTGAATACATTTTAACGGGTCCAGTTATTGCAGTGGTCCAGGCATCACCCAGGTGCCTTTTCCTTCAGCATAATTGCAGGTAGGTTTTCTCTTCCCTTTGATATTCCTATTTCAGGATCACAGATAAGAGCATCTCCTCTGTTTATCTCTTTGTTTCTGTGTTTACACTAGCAAGAAATTGTGGAAATTCAGCTATTTGTAATGTGTTCAACCAAGGTTTCATTATGAAGAGATTACAGCGTATTTTCTATTTGATTCCACTAGGAGGATAATGAAATCTCTTCCTCCAGTCACACAGTAAGTATTTTCCCCAATTAGCCAGCAGTTGTGGATGTTAAGATTCAATTACCATATAGTAACACTTTGATTTCTGGATATTTGCTCTGTATTTGACACTAATATACACTCTGATTCTTTGTATCATGTTCACACATTTACAATATTGTAGGGTTGTAATTAGACATTTATCTATTCATAGTAAAGTGACCTCATCACCATGCACTGCTGGAGGTTCGGAAACCTGTTTGTAACCTGGAGCCCTAAAGTAAGGGTTTGTGTGAATCAGAAGTTGAATATTAATGACTTTTGAATGTGACTCAGTGGACCAATGGGTTTCTCTAAAGCAGTTTCACAGATACTATGATATGGAGGACACTAGTAAGCGAGAGTTTATTTACAAATAGAAAATGACATGCATTTTGCATCCCAAACACAGAAGAGAAACTCTGATGAAAGGGGCCTATTAAAATTAATAATCATCTCACATGAGATTCAGAAATTTTAAAATATAGTGAGTTCAGTTCAGTCTCAGTCACAGGGAAAAACCCAGTTTCTCAGTTCATGATTTTCTCAATCTAGTTAGCAGAAATATTTTTTACTTCTTGATGATATCACAGTAATTTGTAAATAGATAAGCATATTAGCAGATATTTTACTTTTAAGTAATAGTTTCTACTTTCCATGTTTCAATACCCTGTCCTGGTAAGGGATAAAGTAGTTTTGAAATTGTGCACCCCAAATCAAAAGAGTTCATTTCCTAATCAAACCAGGAAAGTCGATCCTCTGTCTTTTCATTGCAGAACATACAGAAACAATTTCTATATTCTAACAAGATGGCCACAATAAAGAAGAGGGAACAAGCAGTTCTGAGAAAATCAGTGATGAACCTAAGTTCTCTGGGAGAGGCAATGCCTGAATACTCTAGAAAAAAATGCTTGATTGTATTGAAAAGTAACATAATTGCTTATGAGGGGAGTGATGCCTTTGTGTATCTATGTCTGCAGAGTTGCAAATAGTGTCAGAAAAGAGGAACCCAGCCCCAAATATATCCTTCACCTCCTTCATACCCTCACTCCTGGGAATACCTATGCTAGCTAGTGACCTTCTTAGGCAGTAGATCTCAATCTCTCTAATGCTGTGACCATTTAATACAGTTCCTCATGTTGTGGTGACCATAACCGTAAAATGATTTTTGCTGCTAATTCATAACTTCATAACTGTAATTTTACATGCAGGCATGTATACACATGCACACACTCTCACATGCATGCACACAGGCACGTACACACACACCACCACCACCACCACTAAGCAAGAGAAATAGCGAGACAGAGAAAGAAGGGATAGCACATGTTTCAATGTTTAAATACTTTTGTTACCATTTAGGAGACTGGTTAACCTTTGGGGATATGGTCTAGCTAGCAGAATGTTGTCTGTGGTGGGTCTTAAAGGTCATCCCTATATTTGGAACCAGTTCTGGGTTGTATGCTTCCCTGTCTACCAGCCTGTGAGAAGCAATAGACCACTGCCACAGGCAAAGCCTCCCTGTTTGCTTTCCCTACTTCAACTGCTGGAGGGAAAGTCATTCAGTTATAGCAGGGAAGGCAAGCAGGAGTTTCCTGTAGCCATGAGTCTTCCTTCCTTCCTTCCTTCCTTCCTTCCTTCCTTCCTTCCTTCAATAATCTGTCAGCATTTTGTCACAGCAGGTATAAAAGAAATAACCTTCATTGGTGTTTTTATTTATTTTATTCATTTTTTCTTTTATTATTTTAAGACAATCTTTTTTATTTTACATACCAATCCCAGATCGCTCTCCCTCTTTCTTCCCCTACCATCCCCCACCCTCTCCCCATCCATTTTGCAGAGAGGATGAGGTCTCCCATGTGGAGTCAACAAAGTCTGTCATATCCCTTGAGGCAGGACCAAGGCCATCTTCCCTGTATCTAGACTGAGCAAAGTATCCCTCTGAAGTAATAAGGGCGGCAGGGCTGCGTTCTCAGCACCCCTGGCCGCCTGCCCGGCTAGCTTATGCCCAAAATAATTACACAGACACTGTATTCTTTTAAGCACTGCTTGGCCCTTCTGCCCTAGCCCTTACTGGCTAATTCTGATATCCCGATCAACCCATCTCTAATAATCGGTGAGCACCGGTCTTACCGGGAAGATTCTAGCCTAGTCCATCCTGGGTCGAGCTTCATCCCGGGAGCGGGGCATGGCGTCTCTCTCAGGCGTCTGCTGCTGAGAGGAGAGCTTTCTGACCTCACTTCCTCTGACCTCACTTTCTCTGACCTCACTTCCTCTTCCTCCCAGCGTTCTGTCCTGTTTTTCTCCTCCCACCTATCCTCTAACCAATAAAATGGGCCAGGGCAGTGCCTTTATTAGCCAATGACCTTCCTCCATCATTTCCCCTTTTTCGGTTTAAACAAAAAAAAAAGGCTTTAACTTTAACATAGCAAAATTACATATAACAAAACAGTTATCAAGTAAAAGTTACAATAATCTTTATCATAACTAAGGAAAACTATAACTATAACTAACTATTCTTAACTCCATCAAAGACTCCAGAAAGATACAATACTACCTAAGCAAACAAGAAAAAAGCAACCTTCAAAACTCTAGAAATGACAGAGACATCTTGCTGCCTGGACAGTCACCCAAAGTTCCTCTGTACCGTTGGGGCATCCATCTTCAGCCTTCAGGCCCATGCTATCCAGCAGACATTTCCATAAAGCAGGAAAATTCAAAGTCAGTTCAGTCACTATCTGTTGTGTCCTGCAGAATGCCTCGCAGACTCTTTCATGAATCAGGAACCCCGAAAGATCATCTCACCTTAGGCAAGTTCAGTAGTCCTCTCTCTGCGGGTTCTCTGTGTCCAGTTTATGCAATAGTCCAGGCAAGAGCAGTTTCTTGCCCAAATGGCTATCAAACTCCATAAGGTGCCTCTTCGATGCCCATCTTCCTCTTGAAGTACATTGGTGCTGCCAGGAGCAGAGTGTCTCATTGTCATGAAAAGTCCTCAGTTATTAAAACATTAAATGTCCTATTCTGTAATCTTTGAAAGACATGAAGAATGTCTATCTAAAATATATCTCTATATATCTAGAAAATCTAACTAACATGACTACAAGCTTTACTATTATTGATGATTATCCATTAACAACCTATATTTCTTAATTATACAGTACATATTTAAATGAACTACACAATCACAATACCTTAATCAAAATCAGAAACACTTATACATATAACAAAATTGACCTTAAATCTCTATCAATAAAGCAAAATCTATACTAATGCAAATTATTCATATCTATATCATATCCCCCTTTAAATGTAAAAGGACGTTTATAAACCATATTTGGGAACATGGGCACAGTTTTTTCTCTCCAAACTGCTTCCTGCTGAATGGGGGCGTCGTTAATTAGGTCTTTCATGGTACAACCTGTGTGCTAGTTTCATCTCAGTTGGCAGTTGAGCGAAGCAATTTTTTGAAGGCGTTCACACCAACCCTTCAGGAGGGCGTGGTCCATCATACCAAATCGGAATAGAAGAAATGAACAGCGTCTCATCCTCTGTGAAAACAAAATAAGAAACTCCTTTCCAAAGTATCATATCCTTAGATCCAAATTCATAATATCTATGTTGGATTAGTTCAGCAGTATTTATAAATAAATATCTTTTAGCATCTGTTTCTCCTTCCTCAGCATTTAAACAATTCAAAGAGAGCATAATAGCATACAGTATCAAAAGTCTCTGTGTATTTTCCATCTTTGTAAGCTTTGTTTTAACCTCTATTTTGTTTATTCTTACTTTCAACTCTTTGCTTTTTGAGACAGGTTCTCTGTATCTTTGACCTGAAGTAACTCTGTAGACCAGGCTGTCTTTGAACTCTCAGAGATCCGCCTGTCTCTGCCTCCCAGGCATTCGGGATTAAAGGTGTATGCTACTACACCTTGAACTCACAGAGATCTGTTTGTCTCTGCCTTCTAGGCACTGGGATTAAAGGCGTGTGCTACCACACACAACAACTCTCTTCCTTTTTTTTTTTGTTTTTTTACTTTAAGAACTTCAACTTTTAGTCTTTATATATTTTTAACACACTGTAAACCATTTAAAAATTTTCTTTGTCTTTGAATCTCTCTTTACTGTATATCTCTCTTTTTCTGACCACATGAGTCTTTAATTTACCAAGCAATGTCAGTAGGATTAAAGGCGTGGCTTTGCCAGCTAGATCCAGTCCATTCCTTAGCTTTCCAGCCTCATGGCTGAGGTACTGGCTGTAGCCAGCAAGCGAGCTTCAGCAGCCTGTGCTAACAAACCGCACAAACCGCCTGCGTAAAAGAGTCAGAGTTTGTCCTGGCAGGACAGCCCAGAAAGCCGGCATTTTTAAATGGCGCAGCTTTTTTCCTGCTACAGCTGAAAACCGAAAAGCATGCATTCAGCTTTTCGTCAACACCATTTAAGTGTTTCGTGGCAGGACCTCTTAATGAGCTGCAGGACTTTGCAGCTGAAGCTGAGTCAGGAAGCCTCTCTTAGATGAGGTGCTTTCTTGCCTCTAGCAGGCAGAGTAGAACCGAGAAATTGCTGCTACCAAAAAACCAGGCACAATGCTTTCATTTTGTTCTAGAATTATTTCCCAAGCTGTCTCAGGCTTTATGTGGAAGCAGTTGTCCACGTGGGCGCCATATGAAGTAATAAGGGCGGCAGGGCTGCGTTCTCAGCACCCCTGGCCGCCTGCCCGGCTAGCTTATGCCCAAAATAATTACACAGACACTGTATTCTTTTAAGCACTGCTTGGCCCTTCTGCCCTAGCCCTTACTGGCTAATTCTGATATCCCGATCAACCCATCTCTAATAATCGGTGAGCACCGGTCTTACCGGGAAGATTCTAGCCTAGTCCATCCTGGGTCGAGCTTCATCCCGGGAGCGGGGCATGGCGTCTCTCTCAGGCGTCTGCTGCTGAGAGGAGAGCTTTCTGACCTCACTTCCTCTGACCTCACTTTCTCTGACCTCACTTCCTCTTCCTCCCAGCGTTCTGTCCTGTTTTTCTCCTCCCACCTATCCTCTAACCAATAAAATGGGCCAGGGCAGTGCCTTTATTAGCCAATGACCTTCCTCCATCATCCCTCCATAGGGAATGGGCACCAAAACAGCCAGTTTACACACTAGGGATAAATAAAACCTGGTCCCATTTTTTGTGGCCCAACAAAGCTGTCCAAGCCATATAACTGTCACCCATATTCAGCGGTCCTATGCAGGTTCCCCAGTTGTCAGTCAAGAGCCAGTGAGCTCCCACTTTCTTGGGTCAGCTTTTTCTGTGGGTTTCTCTAAATTCAACCACATACCCGGTAACAAAGCAAATCTCAACAGATTAAAAAAAAATTGAAATAACCACGTCTTATCGGATCACCTTTGGTTTAAAGTCAGAATTCAACAACACTAATTGCAAAAATCCCACAAACTCATGGAAACTGAACAATTCTCAATAAAAATAAAGGAAGACTTCCTAGAATTTAGTGAACATGAATGTACAACATACCCAATTCTTTGAGATACTTTGAAAGCAGTACTAACAGGAAAATTCTTAGCAAGAAGTGCCTACATAAAGAACCTGAAAAAATCTCACACTACAGTCTTAACGGCACACTAGAAAGCTGTAGAATAAATAAAAACAGCAAACTCACCCAGGAGGAGATGGCAGGGAATAATCAAATTGAGGACTGAAATCAATAAAACAGAAACAAAGAAAACAATACAAAGAGTCAGTGGGACAAAGAGCTGCTTTTTTTGTGGAATATCAACAATACAGACAAACGCTTATCTAAAGAACCCAAAAGAAAAATAGAGAATATCCAAATTAACAAAATCAGAAATGAGAAGGGGGACATAACATCAGACACTGAGGAAATCCAGAGAATCATCAGATCATACTTGAAACGTGTACTCCACAAAATTGGAAAATGTAAAGGAAATGGACAAATTTCTTTTGTGTTTTTTATTGATTTTTATTGAGCTCTACATTTTTCTCTGCTCCCCTCCCTGCTTCTCCCCCTTCAACTCTCCCCCAAGGTCCCCATACTCCCAATTTACTCAGGAGAGCTTGTCTTTTTCTACTTCCCATGAAGATTAAATCTATGTAAATCTATCTTAGTATCCTCATTGTTGTCTAAGTTCTCTGGGATCGTGGTTTGTAGGCTGGCTTTCTTTGCTTTATGTTTAAAAACCACCTATGAGTGAATACATGCGATAATTGTCTTTCTGTGTCTAGGTTACCTCACTCAAAATAATGTTTTCTAGCTCCATCAATATTCATGCAAAATTCAAGATAAGGTATAAAGCAAGTAAAAGAGCTAGTTCTGTTTGTAGACCTTACTTACACCACTTACCAATCTCTAATACAAATGGTTAAGAGCTAGCTCATTACCTTGAAGCATTTCAGTTCAACATTAGGAGAGACAGGGGCAGATTCGACATAATTATTACACCCAATGAAACCATTGGTAACTGTAATTTTAATATTTTTAAAACTAAACTCAAGTGTTCTGTCTTTTAGGCCTAATCCAATTTGGCTTCTAAATGATTATTAGCTATGATGTATGATCAAATGAGTAATTGGTCAAGGGAGGTCTTAGCAGGGAGATAGATCTCAAGAGATTTTAATGAGCAGACATTCACATGCCAGACATCTTCCAAGATTTCAGTGAAAATTCATTAGCATACAAAGTAACATGATTAATACAAATGGAATTATTAGACTAATGCAGAGGTTTTTGGCTGATACAGAAAGTCAATGGTAATGTGATGAATGTGGCAACCATGGAGTGTTGCCCTCAGCATGAAGGGAACAACATCTTGGATAAGCAAAGGATTAGACTACAAACCACAATATCACTAACAGATTAAGACATTAGCATATTCTTGAGGCAACTAAAGCAAAACATCAGTGGTTTCTATCCTTCAAAAATGCGACTGAAATAAAAGCAGGCATCACTTTTCTGGGGTTAGAATTGCATAAAACGATATTAATACATGAGTTCTCCAGAATCCGTTATCTGGTAATTGCAGCATAATGAGTATAAAATCACCAAACTCAGCGAGATAATATTGGCTCCCCATGCTAACAGAATATTAAGTAGGAGACTTCATGAAGAGGTCAGCCAGACATGCTGAGAAAGGACACAGGCCCCAAAGGCACAAAGATGATGCTATGTCTAGGGAAAAAAACCCACACATCTCAATGAGTTTACTCCATATTCATTCTGAACTGTTAAAAACCAATCTCTGTCTCTATCTTCAACTCTCTCCCCTCTCAAACACAGTCAATTTTCAAAAAAGGTAAAACACACACACAAACACAGAAACACATACACACATGAGAACAGGTCAGACCACTAAATGGTAACTCTAATGAACTGAGTTCCATCTCAGAGAATACAATAAACAGCAAGTGTCTGACATACATAATCCCAATACGCTGATATCTCGATTAGAAGCGGAGAGTAGAACAGCCGGAAACCTACAAACCAGCCAGATTGAACAATGAAGAGCAGCTGAATCACTGAAAGATCATCTCATAACAGGGAAAAGGAGAGAGCCATTCCTGAAGGTCTTCTTTGCACCTCACAAACAGAAACACAAATACACATACACACACACATACAGAGACACAACACACATACACATGACCCAGAGCACGACCCTTTTAAGATTCTTAAACTCTGGGCTTTGAATTAAACAGAAAGGAAGCAAAGGTTACACAATAACAGTAGTCACAGTGATAAAATTTCGCTGAGCAAACAAATATTTGGGGACTATAAATCAAGACCCTAGCATTAACAGAAAAGTTCTTCTGAAGTGAATAAAAATTAGTGACATTTTAATGAAAACTTACATCTCAAACTTTCCTTAAAGGTTGAAGAAACCAAGAAAGAAGAATTTCGTCCTGCAAAGGATGAGGATGGCATTGTGCCCCTGCCTACCGCCAACACTGAATTACCTTCATCTCCAGGTACAAGTCACAGAGGTGACACTCTTCAGGATTCGGAGAAAATTACACTTCACGACACCACAATGGATCACACACGTTCTTTAGGACTTACACTGGGCATTAAGGGGAGGCCACATGCTGACTCTGAGCTTCCCCTTGGTAGCCACACTGGAGACAACATGGACCCTCTGCAACATTATTTATTTGACAGTTAAAAAAAATTTGGAATGTATTTGAAAACAATCACAACCATGAACTTTGTTACAAGAAGGGGCCCTCTCAGTTCTCCACAATGATACTAAGTATGCTCACAAGGGGTTCCCATTGTTAAGTCTTAAAACAAGCATCTTTTTTTTTTCATTTTAATAAAAATTTATTGAAATTTCACTGATGTTTTTAAGGAGGAGAATTACAGAAAACTCATCAAGTACTAAACACAAAATATGCCTTCATGGATTTTTTTTTAAAAAAAGATTTTTGTTATTTTGTTTTGCCTTTCATGGTTGTTTGAATGAGTCCCTCTCTGTACACCACCTAGATGAACAAATGAAAGAAAACCTCACTTAGGTTAGAAGATACCAGAGACAAATGAGGATGAAGAATTAGGAAGGTTATGGCAGCCTCTGCTCCCATGACAATCTCATTCCCTCCCAGGGTGTCAGAGCTTAGGGAAAGGGCCAATACCTCCCCAATTTTGGTGAAAATAGGAAATAGTATTCCCAACCTCCCCACCCCACCCCCGCCACCAGCTCTCGAACAATTAAAATTGCAGCCAGCTCTATTTGAAAGCATTAGATGGAGGTCCAGAAGCCTATGCTCATTAGTGTGAATTAGCCATCTCCTGACCTGGAAATAAAAAGCAAAAGGCAAAACAAGAATAAAACCTGACAGACACACTTCTATTTACATCCAGCTATGTACAAGTCAATAAATTAAAGTTTAACTTTCTGAGCGGTCATAATTCCACCTATTTACAAGAGATATCAAATAATTACATAAATACTTTGTCCAATAGTCGTGTTTCCTCTTTATTATTTCTTTTAAAACCTTGTGTTATTGCATATACAGTTGAGAGAACTAATGGTCGGACGGGCACACGAAGCCCTCTACAGCGCTTAGATAAAACAGATAAAATAAACTCAGTGGATTCCAACCCCATTGCTTCCCTTTACCCCACTCCACCCCTACTTCCTTGGGGCTGCCAGTCTGAGCAAGGTTGAGGATGGCAGGGTTTTGTTGTTTTTCTGTAAAAGCCAAAAAAAAATCAACAAATAAAACCCAGAAAACTCTTAACATGCAAAAACAAACAAAAAAGGACGGGTATCCCTCCTTTAAAACCTCAGGATATTAAAAAGACACAGGATTCCTTTAACATAGACCAGGCAAGGGCCTTTCCCTTCCCCAGTAAAGGTACTCAGCAATTTAAGTCTTCATAGACAGTTCCACGGGACTTGATCTGTCCCTGGTTTGGGTTTGTTTGTTAGTTTGTTTAGGAAAAAAATTATTTTTGTTTCCGCTTGACACACGAAGGGGAAAGAGATTTGGGTGTAGTCTCTCAAACAGGGCAGGCCGGCCTTGGCTACCTCGTTCTTCAGCCCCAACTTTCTTTCTTTTTTTTTTTTTACTATATATGCAAAACTTTTAATCATTATAGATGGAGATAAATGATATTTCATGATAAAGTCAAAGTCAAACAATATTTTTTTTCTTTTTTTTCCATTTTTTTATTGAGAAAAGGAGAAAAAAAAAACAAGTTTCCACCTCCTCCCAGCCTCCCATTTCCCTCCCCCTCCTCCCACCCTTCTCCCCCTCCTCCCACTCCTCTCCCCATCCCTCTCCAGTCCAAAGAGCAGTCAGGGTTCCCTGCCCTGTGGTAAGTCCTAGGTCCTCCCCTCTCCATCCATTTCTAGGAAGGTGAACATCCAAACTGGCTAGGCTCCCACAAAGCCAGCACATTACGTAGGTTCAAAACCCCGTGCCATTGTCCTTGGCTTCTCATCAGCCCTCATTGTTCGCCATGCTCAGAGAGTCCAGTTTTATCCCATGCTTTTTCAGTCACAGTCCAGCTGGCCTTGGTGAGCTCCCAATAGATCAGCTCCACTGTCTCAGTGGGTGGATGCACGCCTCGTGGTCCCGACTTCTTTGCTCATGTTCCCCCTCCTTCTGCTCCTCATTGGGACCTTGGGAGCTCAGTCCAGTGCTCCAGTATGGGTCTCTGTCTCTATCTCCATCCATCACCAGATGAAGGTTCTTCTTACTTAGCTTCTTTGGGATCACCAATTGTAGACTCCGTGACCCTTGTTTATTTCAGCCCCAACTTTCACACCAGCCTCCACTGAAGTCGCTCTAGACACAAAAGCCAGTTTCCCCCCACCCCCACCCCTGCGTCTCAAAGCAACAGCAGCCAGCTTCCACAGCGCAAGACAAGGCCTGTGGTCTCTAGCGCATTCTCTGGAGGGAGCCTGGTGCTCCTTCCCAGACAAAACTGAAGGATGGGGAATCACCCCAGTGGAAGGTCTGTGGTTTATTTTACATCCAACAAAGTGCACTGGCAGATTTGACCGAACTGGAATGGAGAGACCTTTGGGGGAGCGGTTTTTGTTTTTTGTTTTGTTTTTTTGTTTTTAAGGGGACCCACTGCAGGACCTGTCCGGCTTGGCTTCCAAGCCACTGACCAGCCGCTGGATGCTCTGCAGTTCACTGGTAGCCGCCTCTTTCTCTGAGCAGAGTTTGGGTGACAAGGACACTGAGCTGGAGGACAGCGTGGACGAGCGGCTGTTCAGTTCCGAACCCGAATCCACGGCCATCGAGGCCGGGCTGGCCGCCAGGGCGGCTGCCTTGCCGTCTAGGGGCCCCGCGGCTGAAGCCATGGATGGCAACGCAGTGGCCAACAAGCTGCTGCTATCAGGCACTGGAACCGGGATGGAATACGGACTGTAACGTAGCCTGGGGCGCATGCAGTTCAAGTTGAGGAACGGGTGGCGGTGCACGGAGCTGGAGGCGGCTGCTGAGGAAGCCACAGCTGCAACAGCCATGTATGTGTAGGGGTAAGGGAACAGGCTCCCCAAAGGCGACATAGCCAAGCCCTGGGAGGCCAGAATGTGTTGTTGAAGGTGGAAGGGCAGGGTGGCAGCCGACGCCCCGGACAGTCCCTGTGCTGCGGCAACCGAGGCCATGGCTGTGGAATCCAGACAGCAGGTAAGACTCCTGTGGCAGATAGCCCCTAATATAAAAGCACCCACGTACGTAAAAGAAACATTACTAAAACTCAAGGCTGCCATCAAACGGCACACACTAATAGTAGGAGACTTCAACACTCCTCTCTCACCAATGGACAGGTCAATCAGACAGAAACCTAACAGAGAAATAAGAGAATTAATGGAGGTAATGAATCAAATGGACTTAACAGACATCTATAGAACATTACACCCAAATAGGAAAGAATATACCTTCTTCTCTGCAGCTCATGGAACCTTCTCGAAAATTGACCACATACTCGGTAACAAAGCAAACTTCCACAGTTATAAAAAAATATTCGTAACCTCCTGCATCTTATCAGACCACCATGGATTAAAGTTAGAATTCAACAACAATGCTACTCCCAGAAAGCCTACAAACTCATGGAAACTGAACAGTCAACTTCTGAACCACACCTGGATCAAGGAAGAAATAAAGAAATCAAAGTCTTCCTTGAATTCAATGGAAATAAAGAAACAACCTATTCAAACTTATGGGACACTATGAAGGCAGTCCTGAGAGGAAAGTTCATAGCACTAAGTGCCCACTTAAAGAAAACAGAGAAAGCACACATTGGAGACTTAACAGCTCACCTGAAAGCTCTAGAAAAAAAAGAAGCAGACTCACCTAGGAGGAGTAGAAGACTGGAAATAATCAAACTGAGGGCTGAAACCAACAAAATAGAAACACAGAAAACAATCCAAAGAATCAATGAAACAAAAAGCTGGTTCCTAGAGAAGATCAACAAAATTGATAAACCCCTATCCAAACTAATCAAACGGCAGAGAGAGAATATGCAAATTAATAAGATCAGAAATGAAAAGGGGGACATAACCACAGACACAGCGGAAATTCAAAGAATCATTAGATCTTACTACAAAAGCCTGTATGCCACAAAACTGGAAAATGTAAAAGAAAGGGACACGTTTTTAGATAAATACCATATACCAAAGTTAAACCAGGACCAGGTGAACAATCTAAATAGACCTGTTAGTCACGAAGAATTAGAAGCTGTCATCAAAAACCTCCCTACCAAAAAAAGCCCAGGACCAGATGGTTTCAATGCGGAATTCTACCAGAACTTCCAAGAAGAGCTTATACCTATACTCCTTAATGTATTTCACAATATAGAAACATAAGAGTCATTGCCAAATTACTTTTATGAAGCTACAGTCACTCTGATACCAAAACCACACAAAGACTCAACCAAGAAAGAGAATTACAGGCCAATCTCACTCATGAACATCGACACAAAAATACTCAACAAAATACTGGCAAACCGTATCCAAGAACACATTAGAAAAATTATCCATTATGATCAAGTAGGCTTCATCCCAGGGATGCAGGGCTGGTTCAACATACGAAAATCTAGCAATGTAATCCATCATATAAATAAACTGAAAGAAAAAAATCATATGATCATTTCATTAGATGCTGAAAAAGCTTTTGACAAAATTCAACATCCCTTTATGATAAAAGTCTTGGAGAGATTAGGGATACAAGGGTCATACCTAAATATAATAAAAGCTATTTACAGCAAGCCGACAGCTAACATCAAACTAAACGGAGAGAAACTCAAAGTCATCCCACTAAAATCAGGAACACGGCAAGGCTGTCCACTCTCTCCATACCTCTTCAATATAGTGCTTGAAGTTTTAGCAATAGCAATAAGACAACATAAGGGGATCAAGGGGATTCGAATTGGGAAGGAAGAGGTTAAACTTTCATTATTTGCAGATGATATG